TTAAAAGAAACTGAACATATGATATATAGCAATATTTAAAGTGATATCATAGTGAAAATACTATCTTGTTGAAACCCTTCAAAGTTTTTTTTTTTTTTTTTTGGTTGTTGTTTTGGTAAAACTATGTATTTATTTCTAAATTTTACTTGTGGTCTGAAACCTGTAAAGAACAAGATCAATTTTATTTTACTGAAAAATAAATCGGTGGAATGAATCCATGTATCTAGAGCATAGTATGAAAGCCTCTGTAAAAATAAGAATATCTGAATGTGGCAACATAGAAAGTCCTTCTAGCTAGTACTGCATGACTGGCCCACATTACTTCATAGCTCTTCTACCTACTTGTCTTTAAATCCATATGCAAATATGTTCTCTGAATAACATTTTGCTGGTCTTAATTAATTTCTAACAAAATATTTGCTGATTTAGATAATTGAACACTCCCAAGACTGATCAAAATTCTGGGATTTAGAAAAAAAATCAGATAACAGTTACTTTAAACCATCTTTTGTTGTTTCAATTGCTATTATGAGTCTAGCTTTTTTTTTATGGTGTTAGGCTGCTTTCTCATGGATTTTCATCTGTTTTCTCAACAGTCAGGATTCCTACATCTATACTGGTCTTAAAAAAAGAAATAGGAAAAGAAAAAAACACAAATACATACATTTTATATTTGTGATTGTGAGTTTCCAGTTGTTTTGTACAACCAGGAAATATCTTTTCTTCTTGAACACTTTCCCTTTAGCTCATTGTACTTGCAGGAGATTGTGTGATACTATTTTTTTTTAACATACTTCAGATTATCCATGAAGCACAATGCCTTATTCTCTTTGTCATGGATTTAAGCTTTTTAAATATAGCTCACCAACACATGTTTTTTGTTTCTTGAAAGGCTCATATTCTTTTATTAGACTATGGGAATCCCTTCTGCACATGAAATGTGCATAAAGTTTATTCTTGATCGAAGACCCCAAATTTTGTACTCAATTGCAATGTTAAACTTTAACTTACATTTCTGGTATACATATCTTTTACCACATTCACACTTAGGATTTATTAATGGAAAATGGACTCTAAGTAAATTATTACAAGTGAAATAAAACAGATTTCTGCACATAGACAAAGTTTGAACTTAAACTGCCCAGTGTTAGGTTTTAATTTTCAAGAGCTGCATGTCAGTGTGATAAAGTTCAAAGATAATTCATAGTTTTGGAGGTAGGTTTTACCTATTGTTTTTAATAGCAAAATTTCCTTAAATTTGGTCTTAATCTCTCTGAGAGTGCAATGAACCAAATCACAATCTTTTTTCTTTTTTTAAGCTATTTTTAAATTATTATTTTTTAATTTCATATATTTTTACATCATTTTTCATTTTTATACAATGTATGCATTTTCATCTTGGTTACAGTCCCCATGCAATTTCTACCCCCCTTGTTTTGGTCCTACTCCCTTCCTCTCCCCCTGTAGTGTGTCTCTGGTTTATAGTTGCTTGTTGATTTTGATTTTTACTTTATTATAATTAGTCTTTTTCCTGGCCCCTTATTTAGGTTTTCTAAATTTCTGCTATGAGTGAGACCATCTGATATTTTTCTTTTTCTTTCTAGCTTATTTTGCTGAGCATGATCCCTTCCAGCGCCATCCATGTTGCTGCAAATGGCATGAGTTTATCTTTCTTGATTTCTGAGTAATATTCCATTGTGTATATATACCACATCTTCTTGATCCAGTTATCGATTTTTGGGCATTTGGGTTGTTTCCATAGCTTAGCTATTGTAAATAGTGCTGCTATAAACATAGGGGTACAGGTGCTCTTTGGAATGGATGTTTCTGTGTCCTTTGGGTAAATACCTAGGAGTGGAATTGCTGGATCATATGGAAGCTCTATGTTTAGTAGGTCCAGAAATCTCCACACAGCTCTCCATAGTGGTTGGGCCAGTTTGCACTCCCACCAACAGTATAGGAGAGTTCCTTTTTCTCCACATCCTTGCCAATATTCGTTGTTGCTAGTTTTTTTTTAATATGTGCCATTCTCACTGGTGTAAAAGGGTATTGCATTTTATTCTGATTATGGTTTATCTGCTTTTGTTGTTGATTCCTAAAGCTCTTTGTGGTCACCATAGTGATTCACATATTGTACTTTAATGACTCATTCACACATTCATTCACTGACCACACATGAACACATTTTAAGGTGTCTGCTCTGTGCCATTCTCTGGGTAATACATTCTCTGGGTACAGCAGTCAGCAGGATAAACCATATCTTATTCTTGGAGAACTCATATTTTTCTTTCCTGTTCAGACCCTGATTAGATTATAAACTCTTTGATGACATATCTTGTGCTTAATTCCCTTTTTTCAGTGCATCACTCAGTGCACATACATCCTTGGCCCTCAAAAAGCAGTTCTTAAATAAGTTAATAAATGAAGAGTAGCAGTCTATAAATTCATTTACTTACCCCACAAAATACTGGAAACTTCAGTAAAAGAAATACATGTTTTATAGTTGTATCTTAAGATGCTTGCAATTTAAATATTTTAAATTTGAAGTACGTGGTTTAATTGATGTTTTACACTGAGTTGTCTCATTGTTGACACCCATCCATCATTGGAAAAGACAGATATGGGGGGAATCGTTTAATCACATTCCACTGAATCTCCACCTGCTCCATTACGCTTTTAGACTACCACAGTTACTATACTTATGTTGTATAAATAGAGTCCAAGATAGTACTCACTCTTGCCTTCTAAACAATTGTAATTTTCTAATTAAAGAACCAACAATTTATGCAGAATTAGAATTAGTTCCCGTTTATGTTTTCTTCTATCTCTGTACTGACTAGCCTAAAGAGGAGATGAAAAAGTAGTTGTGTGAGTTTTTATCACAACTAATATTTGTGACTATTTCCCAGTTTTTTCTTTCATCTTGATTCTTTGGGATTTTCATTTGGGATTTTCATTCATTTGTCTACTGTGCAGGACCATCTCTTTCCAACACCTGATTTATAGCTACTAAATCTGGTTAGTTATCAAAAAGCACTGTTTTGTATGTGTGTGACATTTTCAATTAAAAATATATGTCACTGAACTTTTGCTTTATATTCCAGTCATTTCCTCATATGGTGTTTAGGAAGCAGACTCTGTATTCCAGCTCTATCCTTTACTAGTAAAGTGATAATAGACATGCTATTTACCCTTTTTTAGTCTTGGAGATCTCATCTATATGGTCAATGGGGATGCTAATGCTACTTATCTTCTAAGATTGAAATGATGACTAAATGAAATGAATTATCAATTTAAATTAAGTAAAAATAAAAATTTTACTGACTGATACTTGATTTGATATTAATACTGACCAACTGCATTGTAAATTCCTAGATCCTGGGGATCACATCTCTGACTTTTTTACTCTTAATGTAACACAAAATGTATTAAGTACTCCATTGAAGACTTTAGAGCCAATGAGTGATAAGTAAAAAATGAATGTTGTAATTTCTAAGCCAACATACTATTCTTAGAAGAAGTGATAGTTTTCACTTACAGATATACAATGTTTTTAGTATTTAGTTTCATAGTATTCACATCATTCAGATCTGCGGATTTGATAATGCTATTTATAATGTATGTTTTGTAAATGTACACAGATTATGGAGGATTAATTTAAAACTGTAGGATAACCTAAATAGCTACCCTGAAAAAAAAATCACCACAGGCATTTTAATGAAATGTTATTTTACAACTTTAAAGCTCATAGCAATATAATTAGTAATATGTGTAATCTTTATTACCAATCTTAATCTTTTTTATATGGCTGAAAAATTATTTTATGGTAGTACAATTAAAATAATGCTAAAAATGTCAGCATAACAGAATTAAACTAAAGTAACTACTACAATATTGTACCCCAAACCAGCTAATTTAAATGCAAAATACTTTGTAAAGGCTATTTATCTGAGCTAATGCATGTTAAGGGATTTAAGGAGTAGTTTGTATAACTGAAATAAAAGGAAAAATAAGCACTGTACAGCAATCTTTACTATTGTTTAACATGAGGGAAATATTAAATAGGTTTATATATTGGCCACTTGAGGAAAATGTATTAGAAGTCACATTACAGCATAGTAAATATAAAGGGGACTGGCAGGCAATACTACTTTCAGTGTTTTTAAAGGGAAAGCTTGAAATGCTTTAAAGTGTTCTTAGACAAATAATGGTATATCATTAACTATGAAAACTAGACTGAAGATGCTCAGAATTTTAACTCTATATTATTAAAAGGGTATTTCAAAATATTGAATAGTTGTTTAGTTGGCACATGACATTGATTAGATTTTTCCTGAGTGTTTCTGTCAACTCATAATGAATCTTCCAAATTATTGTTGTTATAAAGTAACAATAAAGAAGAATTTAAAAATAAGATTTTTTAAAACATAAAAATCAGTTCACTATAGAGATTTTGGAAAACAAAGAAAAGTAAAAAAGAATCATCTAGGTTTTTACCACTCAAAAAAAGTCACACTTGCTAGTTTAATACTTATATTGTTGAACATATAGTTTCTGTTCCCTCATGCTAATTTAAAAATTAATAATTCATCATTAGAGTCCATGGAATATTTGTATATTATAAGAAAGAATGCAAGAAGTTTATTATATATAAATCACTAATTTTATATTAATCAGCTGTTTTCCTAGCATTATTTTAAACATTTTGGATCCTTAGAAAGGATTATATATTTACTGCAAATTTTGATTCAATTGGATGTTATTTTGAGGACTATTCTTAAAAACTGTTAGCATTGAAGGCATTTTAGTGAAATTTAAGCTACTTCTTAAGAGCTACAGTCCATTAATATCTTATGTAAATTATGACAGAAGTCTAGACTGTAAAGTTCATAGAAACTAGATGTGTTGTGTGTTTATTGTCATAATTCAGTTGTGGAAAGTAGAACTCTGATTTACCAGATGAAACTGCACATTGAATTTGTTTGGTTTCTATTTTATAGGTCCCAGCACACCTGGAACAACCTGCAAGGACGCAGCTACAGAAAGTCCCAAGACAGCCAGTGAAACCCTTCATGACCCTTGACCACCAGATAGTCACTCAGACTCTTAAACGGTCATACCCTCCAAGTCCTGAGTTTCTGGTACAGCACGGACACCCACCTCCAGAAAGTGAGGCTGGCCTCTCTGGGGATGCCCTCACCAAGTTGCTAACTCGTAGAAAAGATGATGACAATGCAGAGTGGCATGTATGTCTAATGACTGCTTATGAAAATATATAATCAGTTTTTGTGATTAAAAATACACTGTTATAGAAATTGAAGTAAACTTTTTTTAGAGTAAACATTTCAAATGCAAATTCAAAAAGGTATATTTCAGTTCAGTAATTTGTAACAACTAGTTATATTAATTACGCATGATAAAATATAATAATTCTTTTTTTAATACTCATTTCAGTAATGTATCAATGTGAGTCAAAATAGGCTCTAACAGTAATTTGTGTTAAAATTTCCCTTTAATGGTAAAGGTTTTCTGATAACATTAGCTAAAATATTTATCAATAGTTATCTTCAATATCCACTAAAATAAAGCAGGCAGAAGTTGTTTAAATAGCAGTAAATGTGTTATCGAGAAATGGTCATTAGAATAAGATCGACAGTCTTCCTACACTTAACATTATTTGAATTATATTTGGAAGTTTGACTCTTGGTTACCTATTCATTCCTTTCTATTTTCAACAAACACTGTCTATGATTTACTAAATAATAGGAATTTAGAGATACTGAGGCTAAAATGAATAAGATCATCTATCGTTATGGAGTTTATGTTTATTGTGACTTGCTTGTAAATACAGCTTTTAAAATAAGGAAGAATGTGTAGAACTGGGAAACAACTGGAACTAGGAGAAAGATTTCTTTTACTATCTCAGTGTAGGGAAACTATACTTTGTAGTTTATAGTTTCTACAGTGTAGAAAACTCTATCTGAACTTCCCCTTCTTTTTTCTTTTTTCCATCTGATTTGTTAGATAGATTGATGGGCTTTGATCTCCCAGGTTTAATCTCCTAATCTACATTCTTGGTGAGATTTACTGATTTCAGGATCCTGCTTTTAGTCTATTAAGTTTATAGCTTCTGGGTACAAAAGAATACTGCTAAGTATCCCATTATTTTAATTCCAAATCATAGTGGAAGATTTTTTTACAATTTTTTGTTAATCTGGAAAACAAAAAAAAAAGTATCTGCTAGATTGTTTAATCAAATAACAATCACCACAAAACAGAACTCTTTGAAATCCAAACTGAACATAAATCCCTACATGTATTTTTGCTTAAGCTTTTCAATAGAGAGTACATACAGAATTTTAAAAAAAACAAAAAGAAAAAATAATATAGGTTCTCAATTCATTCTCTGAAGATCAGAAAAATATGTGTAGAGTGAAAATCATCTGTATAGTAAATATTAGTACTCTACTCAATACAATTTATCTTACAACTACCCTCTTCAAAAGTTCATTTCTTTGGGTGGGAGATTGACTTCCAAAGGAAAAAGAATAAAAAAGGATAAGCACATGCCTGTCAATTCTAGATAAAACCCAGAAAATGATCTTATTATGTATCTTATGAAGTATATTTTCTAAAAAAATAAGAAAGGATAAGTAATATATCAGTCTTGATTTTTCTTAGTAAATACACTAATATTTATTCCCCTTAGCCCATCAACTTATCCTTACTTTTGTAAAAAGTTTTATGCATTATAAGGGAAATTTGCATGATCTGAGTAGTCCTTTAGATGGTGTCACACAAAGGAAATTTCATGCATGGGAAGGGTTGAAAGTCCCAAGGGATTTAGTGGTCTAGGGAATACATGCACATTGGCTATGAGAAAAACTTTTCTATTTTTTAAACTTAAATGTGTGTGTGTGTGTGTGTGTGTCTTCCATCAATTCTGTCCACTTCATCATTGTATTCAGTCTGTTATAGTTTCAATCAGTGTGTATTCTCTTTGAACTTTAAGTGTATTTTTTTTTACATACTCCCATTACTCACAGTATTAATAACTATTAATGTCTAAAGTGTGCTGAAATTTCCTATTTTTTTTTTGTTTGGTGCTAGGAGACCATGTCATAAAGCAGAAATTGTACAGTCTTTAGAGTCAAACAAGATAGGGTTAGAATTACTACTTACTAGCTGTGTGGTCTCAATCCTTAATCTCTTCCACTAACATTCTTCATTTTGAAGAGTTTTGATGCTTGCATTTTTAAAGCTCCTAGTACAGGGTCAGGGATGGAGGGGGTCAGGAGATGGTAAAGTGTTGCCATCTTTTGATGTTTATCTTTCCTATGTAGACCTCTTGTGACATCAAAGGAACATTTTATCAATTCACTGAAAATTCCAGAAGTCAATCATAGCTATTACGCTACTACAACAGAAGTCTGTGAATGCATCCTTAGATTCCAGATTTAGGGGGTAGGAATTAGGAATTACTTGGTGAGTAAAGTTCTACAAGACAATGGAATATAAAATCAAAATAAACATTTTGTAGCATGGGTCTTTGCAGGATAAAAATCCAAATTTTGTACTCGTGTCACACAGAGTCCTTACCTTGCCTTTTGACCCAGACTTATGCTCTAGCAGCCCCCATGGCAATTTGTGCTTCAGCTATACAGGTTCATTAGTGATCATCAGAGTAATAATTTGTCTGGATAATTCCAACTCTTCAAGATTTATTTCAGGTCTCTTCTTTAAACTTCTTTTCCTGGTGGTACTGTGTTTAGATTAAGCACCTTTTCTCTTAAAGTTTTCATAACAGCTATCTCATCTGGGTAAAAATTGCACAAATCATAATTTTTGATGCTTTTATAAATGAATGAATGAGTGCTATTTTGTCAATAGTATGTTTTCACTATTGTTGGTGCAGTGTAATCTAGTGTAGCAGAGAGAGTATTGGTATAATATGAGAAAGACCATAAAAAAGAGAGATCAAAGTACTCTAGAAAATCAAAGGAAAGATATGTTATCCTACAGGAATCAGTACATGAATCAGATATTGAAAAACATACATAGCTCATCATCAAAGATGGTAGGAGATAATAGTTTAAGAGGAGAGGTTACTGTAAACTAAGCATAGAAAAGCAAGGAGTGTGTATCGGGTAATACATTTTGGTGCAAAGAAGAGACTGGGCTTGTAAAAGAAGGTTGGGCATTGAAGACCTTAAATGTATATTCAGAAATTAGGACCATGATCCCAAAACAGTGGGGAATTGTGTCACATTGGTATATGTAGGAGAAGTCAAACTCCAGTAATTTATCCAATTTAGAATTAATTTTTCTCCCATAATAATCCCATATTGTAGATTATAAACAATATGGAATATTATCCACAATATTAACAAAATGAAGAGTGAACACTCATTTAGTCTTTATTATACATCAGGCATAATTTTAAATGTGGCTATTTTGTGTCTGGCACAATTATAAATCTGAATTAGTTTGTTTAATCCTCAAAAAAAAAAAAAACCACTCTGTTTCAGTATTATTATCACCATGTATTAAATGAGACAGCTACCATACCAGAAATTGGTAGTCTCAGGCCGATGCAGTTTCTCTATAATGTCAGAAGATCAAGTCCCTTCTCTGTCTTTTCTTCAACTATGTGGCTTCTGTCCCATGCACACCTCATGGTGAGAAGGAGGGAATCTATATGACAAAAAACAAAGTTTCATAAAAATTTACAATAGGATTATGTCATGATTTATTGTCAAAACTATGCCACAAAGTCACACCCAGCTGATGTACAGCTGAGAAAAACTTTTTTTTTTTTTCTTCTGGGCATATTGCTTTACCAAAGGAATCTATGCTCTTAAGTAAGGGAAAAAAAATTGATACTTAGTAGGTGATTCTTAGTGTGTCTGCAACAGGAACAGTAGTAAGTGTCTAAGTTCAAAAATATCATAATCAAAACTAAGTTGTGCTCCGGGGACAGTTAAAATGGCAGTTGAATGGAAATTTTGAGGTGAAAAAGGTTGATGCCAAGTAGACTGATGAGAGAATATTACAATGACATATAATGATAACCTGAATCAAGGGAGAATGATGGAAATGATCAGAGAAGGGAGTATTGATGGTCTCAGTGTCATAGGTGTAAGTGGAGGAAAAATGAGTTTGGTATGATTTTGAAATTTTTGAGCTTTTATTTTATGAATAATGCAAATGAAGTCATTGTTAACACAAGTATGGAAGTCAGAAGAGGTGTAGAGGTTGACATAGAAATGATGATGAGTTTAACTAGTAGGCCATCCAGGAAAGGAAGCGTAAAAGAAAACTGAAAATAAAAGACAATTTCTCAGAAAAGAATTTAGAACTGTAAATAAGATTTTCTAACCTCTATAGGACAGATTGGTTTTTAATCTCTTTTTTGTGACTTCTCATATTTCATGACACAGTTTTATTTTTCTATATCTATGTCCACATTTAGTAATATTTATGTTATTCTCTTTAAAAATTTATTATTATTGATTTTTGCGTGTAAGAACTGGGGTGTGGGCCAAAGATGTGATGGGTGAGAGGATTCTCCAGAGACAGAGGTGGGGGGCAGAACAGGTGGATCTACTGAAATACACTGCTGAGGGGAGCAGAGGGCGAGACAGGAGAGGTCTGCTTTACCATTTGGTGAAGTACTGTCAGCTCCCTGGCCAGCTGGGGATCAAACTCATGTGGCAGTGGCTGGCAGTAGCTTGATAGTGCTGAGACTTTAACCCCTGCGCCACCAGGAAGGCCCCTTATGTCGTACACTTAAGTAAAAATCTATTGTCTCATCTCCTCCTTTTCATCTATCTTAGTGTACTGATATTCATAGAATTTATACATACATAAACACAGACACACAGACATACATGAATTTATAAATACATATGTATATAAATGTCTGTGTGTGTATATATATGTATAAATTCTATAAATATTTATAGAATTGTATTTAGACCACAGAATTTTATTTTTCTTATATTTTTATTGGTTTCATAGTTTTAGTCATCTTCTGATGGTGCTTTTTGAAAGAATTTTTTCCAAAGGTCTTTTGGTCTTAAAACTTCTAAGCTTTTATGCCTAAGAAATTTCACCCACATACATAAAGGCTATATTACAGGTTATAATGTCTAGGTTCAAAGTTCTTTACTTTTTATTATGTCGTTGTTTTCTTGCTTTGGTGTTGTTGAAAACCTCCATTCTTGGTCTTTTGTAGGCCTTTGTTTTTAAATCTCTTAGATCCTATAAATATTTTCCTTTGTCTTTGAACTTCACATTCCATGCCAATTATCTGCATTTTTATTTTAGTCAAAATAATTTGTTCTTTCTTTGTCTTTAATTGCCTTTTTAAAAATACTTTGAGTAACCTTATTCTGCTGATTTGTAATTCTTTCATAGATTTTTAAATTCTGTTTCAGCTAACATAAAATGTTGTATTTTTTTTTTTAAATACAACTGGATTCTTATGTGATTAATTATGAAGATTCCTGGATGCTGTGAAGCAAGGTTTTTGGATGGATTTTAGATATAAAGCTAAATTTACGATAATGGAAACACTCGTACCTTCAATACATTAGGAGAAAAGACACTCATGTAGGTGTATTACAAAATGAGGAACAGAGGTATTAAAGGTACAAGGAGAATCTCAGGGAGGATGGATTTTCACACATAGAAAAGAAAGTCTTCCTTCTGTAATGGGATAAACCTAAGCATGTTTATAGGCAAAAGAGAAAAATTAATGATTCAAGAGATGAATCATTTATGATGTAAGCTTCCAGAGGAAAAAAAAGGATGAATGTCTCATCTGTAATTTTTAGTAAAATTATTAGGAGTTTCCCCCAAAGAAATACATTTACTATAAGTTATGTTTAGCATTCTTCATCCCTCAGGTCTTCTTCATATCTATTCACTATAAGTTAAATACAGAATGTGAATGTGAGAAATACTATAAAATTAAAATGTGAGATTAGTAACAATTAAGAATACATTTTTAAAATTATTAGACTGAACTCAATAAAGAAACGAACCATGCATATTTATTTTCCTAGGTACTTTAAAGATTTTTTAATGCAAGTCATATGACATCTAAAGACTGCACCACAATCTAGAGTTGCACTCTCAAATACAGTACCCTGTAGCCACATGTGGCTATTTAAATTTAATTTTAAGTTACATCAAGTTCAGTGCAATCTTAAAAAATTAAATGAAGTTAAAAACTGTGACTACTACTGTTATTGTTATCATTGCTTTTATTTTTATTGTGGGTCATTAGGGAAAGATGGAAAATATGCTTTCATGTAGTTTTTAATCCATATGGACTAATTGGCTAAAGTTTAATGACCGATATTTGGTTATATACCTGTAAGATGCAATGAAAACATTTTAAAAGAAAAATAAAGTTTGTAGAAATTCATCCCTGTATATGTTAAATACAGCTTGAGATATTGTTTCATGATAACCCCTCTATTTATGTAGATACTAGTTTCCAAGGGACTAGTCTGCAGTTATTTCTCCAGCTATCAGCTGCCAGTTGCTGGAAGCAAATGCAGAGAAAAGAAACACAAATGAAAGAGTATTAGGATTACTTACATTTTAGGTTCTAAAATGTTCTGGGATTTAATATACATATAATCTTAATTTGAATATTCTGAAAAACCTTGTCTCTGATATCAAACTACAGTAAAACTTGTATCCTTATGCACATATTCTAATTGTATTATCTGTTGCTAGATGGAGGATGTTATTGAGGATATAATCGGTATGGAATCAAGTTTTAAAGAGGAAGGAACAGACTCTCCTCTGCTAATGCAAAGAACAGTAAGTGTTTCCAGACCTGAGGATGTCAATGAATAATAATAGCTTCTGATTATAAAAGAGAATTGTCATTTGATTTGTAAATGTTGTTTTCTTCTTGTTCTTGTGAAAAAGATATAATAGGTGATATTAGAAAATATTTACTTCTGTAGAAAAATTATGTAATGTTATTGAGAAAGATAATGGGGTTTGTACTGCCATATGCAACTATCTACCTACCTATCACTCTCTCTACACATCAAATTATATATCTAATCTGCTGTTTTTCCAGGAGTGATTAAATCTTCAGATTTCCTGTTGAAGAACAGTATATATAGCATATAATCACACACCTTTATAAGATCATAATTAAATTTTGACTGTTTTTCCATGACTAACAGCTATCAGATTCAGAGGTTCTATACAACTTGCACCTTGTAGAGCAAAGAAAAAGATTATAACAATAAAAAAATATAGCTTTGCTTCTAAGTCTATAATCAGAGGTTAAATATGAACTGAGGAAAGGGATAACAGACGTCACTCTGTGTAAGGCATGTAGATAGACTTCTATGTTGAAATCAGCACAAATTCCTGGAATTATATGCAATGAAGGGATGATATCTTATCTCCTATTTGATTGCTCTTGCCTTCTCTTTGCTTATTCACTGTAGACTATTTTCATGTGTGTAAGCTACTTTCTTATATTTTGAAGGGTTATTGCTTGTTTATGCTTTTAACCTTTTTAGAAAACATGAGAAAAAATAGGAAAGACTATGATTGAATTTCAAAAAATTTCTTTTAAAGGAAGTGATTTTTGTCTACAGTACATAATATGGACACTGTTTGTTAGTAAGTCAATGTGCTGAGTGTTTTAAATGTTAGATATTTAGAAAAAAAACATTGAGAATGTACGCTAAAAGAAACTGTAAATTTAGAATATCTAAAAGCTATTAAAAGAAATATCTTCTGTTACCCAATCAACTCTCATTGATAAATCTAGCTCTTTATATAAGGCCAACTAGTTCAGTTAACTAGATGTTTAGTCAATATTTACTATGCACAAAGACTAATACACCATGGAAAACAGAAAGTTGAGACCCAATGAACATGTCGAGTCCACATGGTGATAGGCTAGGGCAGAGAGGCGGATAAAGTATTAAAACCCTGTTCTACTCTAGACACACTGCAAGTCATATAACCTCTTTTTACTTTGCTTTCTTCTGTATAAGAATAATCAATATTATTTTTCAAGTCTGTTTGTATCTAAGATCTTTGTATACTATATGTACATATTTTAAATGTTAGAGAGTTGCTGAGGAGTTCAAGTAGAGGATAAAACATACTAAATAGAGAATTTTGGGAAATGCTTTAGGAAAATAAGAAAATAATGTCCAAGAGGTGTTTATAAAGGCAGAAAAGCAGCACATTAAGAGACTGACATAAGAAAAGTTAAAATATAAGAAAAAGAAAAAGTGTAAGAATAGCTAGTAGAACAGAGATTAGGAAATGTTTTTTTATAGTTCATGTGAATAAAAATAAAAACTGTATGATTCAGAGGAATTCTTTGAGTAGGTATTTTAGCGAGTGAACTTTGATTGCAGGTGGCATAAGCCTGGCTCTTACGGGCTTATGCATGGAAAGAATTTGGTATTTGTGCCATCTAAAAGTTTCTAAGTGATGTTGTTTGTGGGCATCCCTTCATAAATTTGTTTTTGTTTTCTTCTGTGTTGATTTTCTTTTCAGCAATTGAGCAGACACGACCATAACCTTTTTCTAGCTATGTACATAGTTCTTCCTTGCTAATCTAGTTTTTTTTTTTTTTTTAAATAAGGGCAAGAAATTTTATGGTTTATTTAAGTCAATCCTGGTGGTCCCATTTCCTTTGCCAGAGACTGCATTAAGAATGGGGTTTTGCTGCAATTCTGGCATGTGGAGCAGATTCTGGAGGCCTTCTAGGAAGTTTTCTTCTGTTTTTAACAGACACCCAAGAGAAAGAAAGTTTTTGGCCTCTTTGTGATGTTGTAGGACAGTGTGACTTACGTAGTCATTCTATTGCCTAGTAGGTTGGCAAAAACAAAAGAAACAGAAGGAAAAGTAAAGCCAAGAAAAATGTAAAAAGAAAAAATGCTGGGGTCTCCCGTGGTGGCACAGCAGTTTAGCGCTGGGCTGCGAGGCTGCCCGCAGTCTCTGCAGCGCCAGTTCGTCTTTCCCCGGCCGCCGCCCGCGAGGGTCCCACAAAAACAAACAAACAAAAAAAAAAATGAAAAAAATGTTGTTTATATGCCCCCTGGAGAGTTAATTACTTATGGATTTCATGTTATATAAGATTTTTTGCTTTATTTTAAAGTTAATTTCCAGGGTTTTTAGATTGGCCAAATGCATTCTGATGGATACAGTCAGTCTGGCTTGGCATCCTAAGAGAAGAGCTTCTTTAGGTCCACTTAAGTCCTTAGGAGGACTTCTGTCACATATCTATATCTAAGCCAACTTCTCTGGGTCGTGGGCCCAACCTAGAGCTGAGGATTGAGCAGGCTCACACAACAAAATATTGAAATTAAGAGCAAGAACCAGGAGAACAGTATTTGTTATTGACATAAATGCGAAGGAATAAGATGAGCTTAAACCAACAGCTGTCCACCACGGTAAACTTTAAAAATGAGGTTATTCATCAACTACAATTATTATTAATTTCTCTATGACAGCCACTTTTCTAAGTTTTTTTTTTTTCAAAGATTTATTTTTACAAGCACTGGGTACAGTCAGAAGCGTGGGAGGGTGAGAGGATTCACCAGGGCCAGAGCGGGGAACAGAACAGGCAGACCGGCGAAATACACTGCTGAGGGAGCAGCAGGTGAGGCAGGAGAGGTCTGCGCACCATGTGGGACCCTTGCTGGGGGCCGGAGATTGAACCAGCACTGCAGAGGCTGCGGGCAGCTTTGCAGCCCAGTGCTCAACCACTGCGCCACCAGGGGAGGCCCACTTTTCTAGTTTTGTAGATATGTTTCCTCCGGTATTCATTGACTATGCAAAGTCTCAGAGGCAAACTATCCAGTGAGGGCTCCTCTGCTGCGTCCTAAACAGAAAATCTTGGATTTCACTTCACTAAAATTTACCCAAGGTCTACTACAGAGAGGCTTAACTGAAAGTTATGTTGTAACTTATGTTTGTGGTAAACTTGGAAACTGCTAACTTGTAGCTTGTACCCCTTGAGGTGGTTCTCCAAATTTATCCTTATTGAATGAAGTAGTTCAAGGTTTTAAGAGGTTGGTTGAGCCCAGGTTTTAATGACCTAGAGATGAATGTTGAGTGATTAGTGACTAAACTCAGTATGAATAAACAGAAGTTACCTCTCAATCCCTACTTGCTCAGAAGAATAGCCACCTGTTAATTCTTACTGCACAACTACGTAAGTTGGACTGAAGAGAGCCAAAGTGCAAGAATCTCCAGCCAAATCCATGGTGCTTTCTGTACCTTATCCTCTCAGTTTTTCAGTCTCAATGGTGTGTTTCTCCTCCCCATTTAGCCATCCCCTTATATATACCTTAGATCTTTTTATTAGCAATGGTTCTGTCCCAAAACATTTATATTTCACTTTTTTTTGAACATTCTATTTTTTCATTGCCTCAACTCTAGTATTCCTACATTACCTTTTTTTTCAGCTTGTGGAGACTCCAGATTAATTGTTTTCAGAAGCTATTATTTCCCAATTATGGCATTTGAAAAATTTCCTTCTTTCCTGTTTGGAGTCCTTGGTTCAACACTATATATAGTTCTCTAATCAACTCCTAACATGTCTCCATGTTCCTCTCCTTGCAAACCCCAACCCAACTATTCATGTCTCATTTATACCCCCAACCCTCAACATCTGTCAATATATCCTTCTAATCAGCATCCACGATTTCCTAAATCACAGTGCCTCTTATCAGTTCCTGTAGTAAAACATTTTCCAGGTTACCATCATCTCTCATTGAAACTCAAAAACATTCCAATCTTACTTCCCTGCTGCTTTTGCCCCATTACAGTATTCACACAGAAGTCATAAAGAACTTTACAAATCAAAAATCAGATCCCATTTATCCTTGCTTACTATTCAATTACTTTCTAAAATCCTCAGAATATCATCTAGACATTTTACCATAGTCAGCATTTAACATTATTTTTTAATATATTTTATTTTATATAATTCTTACATTAATTTTCATTTTGCACAATGTATGCATTTTCATTTTGGTTATATTATTCCCCATACAATTCCCAACCCCCTTATTTTGACCCTAATTCCTCCTCTCCTCTCCACCCCCAACCCCAGTAGTGTGTCTCTCTGATTTATAGTTGCTTGTTGATTTTGATTTTTTTTCTTAATTATAAGTAGTCTTTTTCCTGGTCCCTTATTTAGTTTTTCTAAATTCCTGCTATGAGTGAGACCATCTGTAGGTGCCCAGCAGACATATAAAAATACTTTAAAATTCACACAGTATTGAAAATATTGTCCGCAGAATACATTACTATTTAGGGTTTTCTTTAACGGCAACAAAAAGCAGCAACAAGGATTACAGCAACAACACTAATAGTTTCTCTGCCTTGGGTATTTACTCTGTGACAAGGATTGTACAAAACACTTTCCATTGAAAAATTTTATTTTATCATCACAGCAAACTATGAGACAAATACTATTATTACCTATTATCATTTTACAAATGAAGAAATTGTTTTAGAGAAGTCAGCATCATCCTCAAATTCTTACAGCTAATGAAAGGCAAGGTAGGAATTTGAATGCAGTTTGGTATGAACCTAAATGAAATAATCCCACCTACTTGGCTGTGCCAGTAACTTCAAGGAGGAAGTAGTTTCATAGACCTGTAGAATCTTAAGAGCTGAAGGAACCTTAGACTGATGTGACTCTGTCACATTCCAGCTGAATGACTGTTTAACCTTTGACTTAAATCTGCATCCCTATAATTTCCAACTGGTCTTTGTTTCACTCTTTTCAGAGATGTTGTTGTGCATATAACTCATTTATTTTA